GATCGGGTGCGCTACACATCAGCAGAGGTGACGTCGCCACCACTGATTCGGTGGTATGCGGCAACACCTCACCGGCGTGCTCGGTCAACGTCATCTGCGGCATCGGCGGTTCGTCATCAGGCTTGGCCAACGGGTGTGACACGCGCGATCAGTGTTTCCACGGCATTGCGCCATGCGCTCGTCCGAATAGTGGCGGCAACGCGCCGTGCACCTCGTGCTACCCCGGATGGACCGGCCCCGCCTGTGACATCGCTGCCAACTGCACCGCGCCGGACGACCTCGGGACGTCGTGCTCTCGTTTTCCGGGCCGTGCACTGCATGTCAAACCGGCCATGGACTCTTCAGCGTCAGTGCCGCTGGCTTTACATACGATGTATGCGGCCCTTGCGAGGTGTCGTGCGCCGAGTGCACAGGAACACCGGCAACGTGCACGCAGTGCGCCATCGGGTACGCCAACGCCACTGCTCTTCCGGGCTCATGCTTTGCGGTCCCATCATCGCCTCCGCCACCGTCACCACCTTCACCGCCGCCACCGCCGCCGACTCCTCCGTCGCCTTCAAACGCAGCGCCGCCGCCACCGCCGCCGCCAGTCGGACCGTGTCCTGATCCAGCCTTTATCGACAGTTGCGGCGTGTGCTCTGGTCCAGGTACGAGCCACGTGCCTGAGTCGGATCGCGATGTTTGTGGAATGTGCTTCGGCGACGACTCGGCGCTTGACGCCTGCGGCGTGTGCTTTGGTGACAACGCGTGCCTCGATGCCTGTGGCATTCAGTGGGGCGACAACTCGACGTGTGCCGGCTGCGATGGCGTGCCACACTCGAACAAGGTCCGCGACGTGTGCGGAGTGTGCGATGGCGATGGGAGCTCGTGCCTCGGCTGCGACGGGATGCCAATCCCTCTCGGCGGCGGCCACTATGATGCGTGTGGCGTGTGCGGTGGGACAGCGGTCGGGACGTGCTACGACTCGTGCGATCCGCTCTCGCCGGTCCCGGTTGTTTTCGACTGTGCCGGCGTATGCAACGGGAGCGCTTACGTTGACGAGTGCGGCGTGTGCGTCAACGGGACCACCGGCCGGACGCCACTGATGCACCTCGATGATTGTGATGTGTGCTTTGACCGCTGTGAGGGCTGCATCGGCGGCCTTGTTCCCGACTCTTGTGGCATCTGCGGCGGCGACGGCTCGACCTGCCTCGGATGCGATGGCCTCGGCTCGGTGGTCGACCTCTGCGGCGTGTGCAACGGGACGAACGCGTGCATTGCCACTTGTAACGCCGGCATCAGCTCAACGGCAGCCTACGATTGCGCCGGCGTGTGCGGTGGCGACGCGTTCCTCAACGCTTGCGGGTTTTGCGTCGGCGGCACAACCGGACTCGCGCCGAGTACTTTTGTCGACGTATGTGACGTTTGCTTCGGCGGCGGCCGCGATCTCGACTCGTGCGGCGTGTGCTTTGGCAATAACGCTAATCGTGACGAATGTGGTGTGTGTTTGGGCGGGAACAGGGCTATGGACTCTTGTGGCGTGTGCTTTGGTGGCGAGTCCTTGCTTGATGTTTGTGGTGTCTGCCGCGGCAACGGAACAACCTGCGCCGGCTGCGACTCAATCTCCAATTCGGGTCTCGAGTACGACAGCTGCGGTGTGTGCGGCGGCGCTAGCACCTGTCGCGCGCAGTCGAGCACGGCGGCGGTTGGGTCCGCCATGCCGATTGTCGCAGCATCGTCGTCGGGCTTGCTTGTGCTCATCATTGCTGGCCTCGGGTTTATGTACTGGCGACGTCGGCGGCGGTTCTCCAAGGTGTACATCGAAGAGAAGGCTCAAGCTGCTGCGGCCGAGGCGCCGTCGGGCACAATTGCGGTCATGATCACCGACGTGCAGAGCTCGACGTATCTATGGGAGGCGTATCCGGAAGAGATGGTGACCGCGATCGACGACCACAACACCGCGTTCCGCGCCAAACTCGACGCTCACAACGGATACATCATTCGAACCGAAGGCGACTCGTTTGTGGTGGCCTTTGATGAGGCGGCGGATGCCGTTGCTGCAGCTGTTGCCATTCAGATTGCGCTCTACGATTTGGAGTGGCCGGCGGGCATCCTGGCCGATAAGAAGGTGCCGACGGTCGACGGGGTCTTCCGCGGCCTGCGCGTTCGGATGGGCATCCACGTGTGCAGTCCGGCGCGAGCATTTGAAGAGCGGACGCAGCGGTTTGTCTACACCGGGCCAACGATGATCGACGCGCAGCGGATCGGCGACTGCGGAACTGGTGGCCAAGTGGTGGTGGATGCGGCTGCGGCCGCAGCAGCGGCAGACCTTGGCTTCACCACCGGCTCACTCGGCGAGTACCGCGCCGAGAGCGAGCTGGAAGGGAGCGCCAAGAACGAGAGCAGTGGTGAGCAGATCGACACCTACCAGCTTTCTCAGGTGGTGGTGCCGGGGCTGGAGGCTCGCATCGCCGCCTTTGCCGAACTTGAGCTTCGTGGTCTCGAGCGGGTCGGCCCAGCTACGCTGCAGGATGCGCTGCAGGCGCTGCAAACCGAGCGGCTGATCGCTAGTGACGGCTTCAATACCGCAGACTCTATGGTCATCCGTCAGCTTGACGATGAGGAGACAGCAACATCGATCGAAACGGGTGAGCCGGGCTTTGAGTCGTCGGAAAGGAGCTCAAGGCGACGCGCGCGAAGTGGGATGGCACTCCGCAAGATGACGTCGGCAGGAAGCCTCAATGCTTCGACCCCCAGCTCCGCACTGCGATACGTTGGCTCTGCAGCGACACCTACGCGAGTGGCATCGTCGAGGTCGGCAATTGGGCTCCGTCGGCAGCGGACGCACTCGCCGCAGGCACTCAAGCGTATCGCGTCATCTCCTGCTAGAGACCAGTCGCCGCTGCGGCGTGTGGTGTCGACCAGGGCGCCGCGCTCGCGGGCAGGATCAACATCCTCTGTGCGCTCACCCATCAGCCGGGCCGGCTCGTCGCGCAAAGTGGCGCCAAGCGGCTCGCTCTTGCGAGTGTCGCCGTCGCGGAAACTCGCACGGTCCTCGTCACCTCCGGCTGTCGAGCCGGATACGCAGCGGCCAGGTGCGCGACTGCGCGGACTGCTCCGCTCACGGCAGGCGAGTGCCCCTGATCTGGAGACCAGCATCGAATCTTAGTTGAGGAATATGCAGCCAGTGCAACAAAGCAACTGACAAAGCCAACTCATGATCATACTCCTCGAGCCCATCCCTTCTCACTCTCCTTACCGACTGTGTAGCATTTGTTTGTCCGGCACTTTCACCCCATCATGCTTCTGATCTAGCTCCCCCCCTCCCCCCCCCCCCCTTTTCCCCGTCCCTCTCCCTCTCCCCCAAACGGCACCATGCTCATCACATCCTACCTTCCCCGCCCCCTCTCTCCCTTCCATCTCAATCGACATCATCTCCGCATACCCCCCCCCCCCCTCCTCTGTGAGACACCCATCCATTCGGCCATTCTGTGATCAGAGCTCCTTCCCCCCCGCACCTCACTCGTAGCGCCCACCATGTCCTCGGCACCGATGTCGTTTGCAGCAGCGAGTGAGTTCCTGGCGACAGCAAGCAGAGAGCCAAGTCGGGAGATACTCGAGTGTGTGCTATGTGAGATACTCCCCATGTGGGGTGCATCATTGGCAACGACGTCGGCGAAAGCAGCGCGGCGAGTCCTGAGCTCACCGCCGGCTGACGCGGCGACGCTCTTTACAGCGCTTACCTCGGCGGCTGCAGACCCGCTGACGCCGGACATGGTGCTCACCGAGTATGTGCTTCCGGCACTTGCGCGAGCGGTTGCGTCGCCGCGGGTGGTAGGAGCTGCACTGGCGAGCAAGCCCGAGGCGGTGGTCACCCTTGCTGACCGTGTGGCCAACGCCGCCGGCTCGCGCGGCCTCAAGGTGCCGGATCCGCTGCTGCCTGAGGCGTACGGCATGCTGTTGGCGCTTGGATGGAGCCAGGAGTGCGACGGCGAGGTGCTGGCGCGGTTGATCCGACGCGGGTATGCTGACCAGGTGGCGGCGATGATGGTGCCGCAGCCTGGGCTAATGGCGCGGGTCTTTGGCGGAGCTGCCGGAGCCTCGCTCTCACCGCATGAGGCGAGCGTCCTTGTGGGGAGCGTGGTGGAGAGTACGGCCCTGGTTCGGCTCCCACTGGAGGTAGCGCGGGCGAGTTTGAAGAGTGTTGCAGTCTGCGATGAGGCAGTTGTCTCGTTGGTGGCGTCCGGGACACTCTCCCTCCGGGGAGTGGCCGCGCTCGCGTACGCGGCTGGAGACCAAGTTCTGGCACCGGGCGTGGCAGAGCTGTGGGCGCTTCCATCGTTGGGCGCGCGGCGGCGACACGGCGGCATTGTGGGGTGGCACTCGCGCTGGCGCTCTCACTCGGAACCGTGGCGTCGGCCGTGGAGCTCGGAAAGCTCCTCGAGCCACTGCTCGACGGAGTGCAGACGCACATGGGATCACCGATGCCCGAGGTCCGAGCACTGGCCGGAGTGGTGGCAAACAGCTTATCGGTGGTGCTCTCGCCGACTGCACCGCTCACGCTCACCACGTCTGGTCTCGAGCCCGAGTTTTACGACGCCACGGGGTACGGAGAGTGGCTGCGGCAAGGCAGGGATGGCTCGCGCTGGGACGAAAGCGAGAATGAGGGTGGGATGGCGCAGGAGGAAGGAGAAGGAGGCAGGAAGGACGAAGCTGAAGAGGAAGCACCAGATCCGACAGAGTCAGTGGCGTATGTGATCGGCGACGACTGCAGCGGCGAGGGACATGCCGGATCGTCGTCGTCGTCATCGTCGTCGTCGTGTGAGTTTGAGGCGTACTCGATCGACGTGGATGGGCCATCGCGGCGGCGGGCGATGCGCAAGGCTGGAGCTGCAGGCAGTGGGAAGAGCGAGAGAAGCGGGATTGCCAAGCCTGTGTACACGAGGCAAGCGCTCGAGTGGCTACGGCAGAGCGGGAAGAACACACCTGAGGAGGCAGATGCACAGCTGGGAGCGCTGACTGCGCTGCCAGATCTTGTGCGGGCGTCGCCACCCGAGCTTGAGGAGCTGGGAGCACGGCTTGTGCAGCGCGTGATAGCGCTCGACGGCGGCGGGGAGGGTGAGAGCTTCGAAGAGCTCCGTGGGGCGGCATTGATGACACTGGCGGAGGCATGCGACAGCGCACTGTACGCGCTGGCAGACGGGTTTTATGGCAAGGGATACACGCTGTCCCAACGTGCGCGGATGCTTGCGGTGGTGGTCGAAGGGGTCCGGTCGCGGGCGGAAGCGCGGAAGAAGGGCACCGACACGGCGTCGACGTCGGCGTCGGCGTCGGACAATGCTAGTGGCGAAGATGGGGCTGGAGCAAGTGACGAGGTGGCGGCGGCACGAGCGGCAGCGCACGCGGTGATCGACGCGCGGCTGGCGGCCAAGACCAAGTACTACCACCCGCTATCGCGAGCGAGGGCAGCGCGAGAAGCGCAGAGGGCCGGCAAGGAGGAGCAAGCGCATGTGGCAGCGCTGGATGATGAGCGTGCACGTGGGGTGTTCTACCGGCTGTTGAGCCCGTTCGACGGGCACGCGCCCATGCTCCTCGACCTTGTCGACTCGAGCTCGCCGTCGTACTTGGTGGTCCACCTTGTGAGTGCAATCGGGGCTGTTGTAGAAGCCGCGGGCGGGTTGCACTCTGTGCGGAGGATGGCGCGAGATGCGCTGGAGCTCTTTGTAGGGCTGGCGGCATCGAGTGCGGCGCTCGTGCGGCACGCGGTCATTGTGGCTGTCTGCCGGGTAGCCGGAACCGTGGCGGGGTGGATGTTGCGGACGGACGCGCCCGGAGTGGTGAGCGAATTGATGCGCGCCATCGCAAGCGAAGCAGCGGAGGGCGGAGAGGAAGTTGAGGAGGGCCGGCGGGTGGCGTTGGCGTTGCTAGGGGGGTAAACGTCGTCATTGGCTTGGGATGCTGTTGAGGAGCGGGGCGGCGGACATAGCTGCGCAGGCTACTCATCAATCCAATGTAGCCAATAAATATGATATTTGTGGCCAGCGTCTCCATCAGAAAAGATACCGTGGCCGAGTGGTTAAGGCGCTGTGTTAAGGCCGCAGTTCTTCGGAGCGTGGGTTCGAGTCCCACCGGTGTCATTTTTTTTGCTCGAGGCCAGACCCTCCCCACCTTCCCGCTTGTTCATTGTTGGCTGTGCGCATGCTGTGGTGTGATGTGATGGGTGTAGGAACGGAGTGATTGGGAACGGAAGGGTGAAAGTGGTGCGGCGCGGCGAGGGGGGGAGTGACGCAATCAAATCCGCAGAAATGTTTGGGTTTGTCATGGCTCTTGGATGGACATGTGATTAGACGTGAATGCCGATGTGCATTGCCATCAGAACGATACCGTGGCCGAGTGGTTAAGGCGCTGTGTTAAGGCCGCAGTTCTCCGGAGCGTGGGTTCGAGTCCCACCGGTGTCATTTTTTTGCTGAGGGCCAGACCCTCGCTCTGTATGATGTGTACCAATGTGTGCGCACGCGATGGTGTGGTAGCATGAGTGTAAATACAAAGTGGGAAGGCATGGAGTGGTGAAGAGGTGCGAGATGCGGGGCATGAGAAGGTGACAAGTTCAAATGTTACCCGTTCTTTTTTTGCTTCAACTGATCTCTCGGGAAGACCTGGGCTGATGTGTGTACAGACAAGAGAGCACCCGTTTAGAAGAGATGGTTGACGGCTGGCGGCTGCTGATGCTACACCTCGCGGGGCGTGACGATGTGGCGGCAGCGTCAAGGTCGATCCTCCCCCCCCCCCCCCCCCCTCCCCCCACCCCAGCTGGGCCACCCACCCCACTCCATCACTCGACGGAAGCAGGATGCACCACATACGCCACGCGCTCTTCTCCCACCTCCGGCCAAGCCTGGCACGGGCACCGGGCGGGACCCAACTGACGCTGCCTTTGTTGCGGTGGCAGAGTACGCCATCAGCTGCTGACGAGTTCAAGGTGGGGCGGCTGGCGCGGGCGGTGGTCGACGGCGAGCTGGCGGTCATCCAGGGCATGGTGAGGGAGAACGGGCTGGATCTCAACGCCATCGATGGGCTGGACCGACCGGTGCTGTGGCTTGCTGCGCTTGCGGGGCACACGGAGGTTGTGGAGTGGATGGTGGCCGAGGGCGGAGCTGATGTCGAGGTCTGCTGCGACGAGACGACGCCGCTGCTCATTGCTGCTCTCCACGGAGAGGCCGAGGTTGTTGACTGGCTGGCGCACCATGGTGGCGCCAATGTGGGCGCGCTGGCTCCAGGGGAGACATCGGCGGCGTATCTGGCGGCGCTTGGCGGGCATGTCGAGGTCCTCGCGCGAGTGGCCAAGCTCGGCGTCGACATGGATGCGCCATCGAGCGACGGCTCGACACCGCTGATGGTCGCCGCCTCTGCCGGGCATGTTGGAGCCGTGGAGTGGCTTGTCACCCACGGAGGCGCCGCGGTTGACGCTGCCGCCAGCTCGGGCTACACCCCGCTGCTGTTTGCTGCGGGCGCCGGACACGCGTCCGTTGTCGACTGGCTTCTTGCGCACGCCGGGGCAGATCCGACAGCCGCTACTGCTGACGGCGGCTCTGCTGCCCAGCTGGCAGCCCGTGCCGGAGATGTCGCCACTCTTGCTACGCTGGACGCACACGGATATGACGTGACTGCGCCGGCGCCGCAGGGTACTACCCCGCTGTGGCAGGCGGTGGCCGCCGGCCAGCTCGACACCGCCAAGTGGCTTGTCGACTCGGCCGGCGCCGACATCCACGTCCGCGGCGGGTTTGGCGAGACCGTCCTCCATCATGCCGTCCAACGTGGTGACACGTCCATGACCGAGTGGCTCCTTGCCTGCGGCGCAGACGTTGCGGTGGCCACGTCGTCGGACGCTGGCCTCACCCCGCTCATTCGCGCCGCAGCCGAGGGCCACCTTGACATCGTGCGAATGCTCCTCGACAGCGGCGCCAGCGCTAACTCTATGTTGCGCGACGGCACGACTCCGCTTATTCTCGCCGCCAACAGGAACCACAGCGAGGTTGCCAAGCTCCTTATCGCCGCCGGCGCCGACGTCAACCGCCAGGGTCCCGACGGCATCACCCCGGTCTACGCCGCGCTGGATCATCCGGACCTTGTCGACTATCTCATCGCCGCCGGCGCTGATGTCAACGTTCCGTTTAACGGCATGACTCTGCTGCAGGCCGCGGCCATGTCCGGCAACCTGACTGTCGTCGAGGCGCTTGTGACCCGTGGCGGCGCCGATATCAATCCCGACACCAGCGCCAATGCCTCTCGCTCGCCGCGCGCTCTTGCCGAAGCTGCAGGCCATGAGAGTGTCGCAACATGGCTTGCAGCCCACGATCGCGGCTAGTATACTGTCATGCCTGTGTTCCAGGCCGGATGTCAGGGGTGAGACTCCTCGCTCACCCGCGAGTCGATCAGGTCGCCGGTGACACGGTGTGGCGCACCCGAAAGGCAGGTGCGGCGGTAAAGTCGCTGCTCGCCGACTCACGGGTGGCTGCAGCCATTGCGCTCGAGCTCGACCCGCAGTTGACACGCCATCGGTTTAGCATCATGTGGACAGCCAGCGATGCGCAAGCCACAGGTCGGGGGGAGAGGGTGGATGGAGGGTCCGGCCTCGAGCAAAAAAAAATGACACCGGTGGGACTCGAACCCACGCTCCGAAGAACTGCGGCCTTAACACAGCGCCTTAACCACTCGGCCACGGTATCTTTTCTGATGGTATGACTAGGCGCTAGCAATATATTTATTGACTACATTGGACTGCAGGCAAGACAATGGTCGCTCAAGCCTGCGGCTCTCCCATTCGCGAGGAGCAAACGGTACAACCCACCGATGAAGCTCATTCCCCGCAAGCATGTTGCCCACACCAATGCATTTGTTCTTGCCCAGCACCACCACTTGCAAAGCGAGTAATGCCTATGTACGGACGGCCTGACGTATCCACCCCCTCACCACCTCACCACTCACTCGTCGCCTCCTCCTCCTCCCCCCCCTCCCTCCACCCGCCCGTCACACCGCCACACACGACTCTCGGCAAGCTACTGAGCAGACCGAGACGATGTTTGCTATGTCTGCAAGTGGAGCCGGACGGAGTGCTGCCAGCCGCATGGCGACCGCGGCCATGGCTGCGGCTGTGGCACCCGCATCTGCCTCGCCTCGTCCTGGCCCGTCATCATCCTTCGCTCTGCGGACTGTGGCGACGTGCGCGGCCGCTCTGGCCAACGCCTCGAGCATGTCTACGGGACACGGTCTGACCAAGGACTCAGGCAAGTGGCGCAACACCCGTGGCTCGCGTCGCAAGGCTGCAAAGGCTGCAAAGGCCGCCAGGCTCCAGCGTGTCATGGCCGCCGGCGCCCTTGGCCGCCTCGCTGGCCAGACTGGCGAGGGTACCATCGACTCGTTTGTCCTCGCTCCCGCCAAGGCGCCTGTCAAGTTCAAGCAGCGTGCTGCTGAGCGCAAGCGCGCTGCTCGTGAAGCTCGCATCGCTCAGCTCATGAAGGACATGCCCCGCATCATCGAGGAGCATCGCAAGGCCGAGCGCGAGCGCAAGCAGCCGTCCGACTTTGACGCTGCCATCTTCTGATGGTACGGCTAGGTGGTACGGCCACCTCGCCACCGCCCATCTCCCGCTTGCCCGTTTACCCGCTTGCCCGCTTGTCCGCTTGCGTGGTTACCACAAAGGCAGCTCATCGTCCCCTCTATCTGTCTCTCTCTTCCGTCATCCCCTCCCCTCCCCCCTCCTCATCGCCAGCGAGATCTTCTCCTCCCTAGCCTGCCATACATCCAGCCTGGTCATCTCCCAGCGAGATTTCATCATAGAGAACTGGGGAAGCAAAAAGATGCGGTTGGCGAGCGAGGGCTCATCAATCACCGGTACCGACAGTTGTAGCACCAGTGGTTGTCCACCTTGCGGCACACAGTGCACGTGTACCCGCCCTTTGGCTTGGAGGCCTGAGGCTATCGACACTGCCCGGTGATGTGGTTACCGCGGCCGTGGTTGACCCACGGCCGCGGCCGCGGCCACGACCACGACCACGACCACGACCACGACCACGACCATGACCACGACCATGACCACGGCCACGACAACGTCGACGACCACGACCAGCTGGCCGAAGTGCTAGTGCTAGCGTCTGGCCAGAGCTCGGTGGAGTTCCTGATCCCGCGGCAAAGACGTTTTTTGTCAATCGACAAGTCGAGCGGCGGGTGTCCCGGGGGTGAGACGTCAGCCAGAGATCGTCGCTGCACTCGAGCTGCAAACGCTGCATCCCAAGCCGATGCTGGTTCGGAGCAGGCCTAGAAAAGCCTGACAGACCCAAATTACCACGTACATCATATCGTTGTGCTGTTGCATATGCTAGAGAGGCAGCAATCGCTGCGAGTGTCCGTTGCGGCGCCGGGCGACCAGCTCCTCGACCCGCGTGCACTGTCAACGCCTACCGATAAACGCATCAAGCTCACCGGCAAGCGCAGCAATCAGTTCTCGACCAGTTTCTGTTACGTCCCTGCACAGGCAAGCCTTCAGACTGGCTCAAGTGGCTGTTGCGGACTCGCCCAGCCATGCCCTCAACACCGCCACAACCTCTGCATGCCCACCGTCCTCGGCCAGCCGCAGCGCTTCTCCGCGCCTCACCCTTGCATCGACCCGCGGATCGTTCAGCAGGAGCTTGACCACGGCGACGTGCCCGTTTGCCGCCGCCGCACACACCGGCCACCGATTGCGTGCGTTGGGATTGACCCGCTCTTCACTCAGCAGCAGCGCCACCACGTCGGCATGTCCACCGGCGGCGGCGTCGTAGATCGCCCGGTTCCCGCGCGCAGACGGATCGCTCCGCCCGTCAGCGAGCAGGAGCTCGACCGCGTCATAAGCGCCAGCACCCGCTGCAGCCACCACTGCGAGATGGTTGTCTCCGCTTGGCGATCCGCTTGGTTGCGCCAGTAGCGCCTCGAGGATGCCGACATTGTTCTTGAACGCAGCGTGCGCGATTGCTGTCTCGAGGTACACAGTCCCCGGCGTCGGCGACTCTCTCAGAACAGCCATGACGACACTGGCCTCACCACGCCCGGCCGCCGCCACCAGAGTGCATCCGCGCCCTGCTTCATCGGTGAGCGGGAGAACCTTGAGCGCGAGGCCTATCAGCCCGGCCTCGACCGCCAGCGCCGCCACCGAGAGCCGCGGGTAGAAGGCATTGGGCGAGAGCCCACGCCGCGAGCCAAGCTCGGCTCCGACTTGTGTCTGCCTGGCCACAACAGCGCGAGCCCGCGCGAGCTCGATCACCAGCGCCTGCCACATGCTGTCGTCTGCAGCCTCGCCCGCAACCGCAAACACCGGCTCGACTCGACTCTTCTTCTGCCAGAACCTTACTACTGGCTGCGGATTGAGCCGCGACAGCGCAAGCTGCGCGCCGCCCCACTCCCCGTGCGCGATGCATGCGTCATATCCGCTCATCGCCGTCGCCAGCCGCCGCACAAACCGCGATCCCAGCACCGCCCCATGCATACGCTTGCACGTCATCGCCATCGCCACAACATCTCGCCCTGCAAGCGCATGACTCTGACGAAAGGCGATGACCTGCAGCAGCTCCACTGGCAGCTTGTCGAGCATCTCGTCCCTGTCTGTCCACCCATCACTCACCACAATACCGCCCCACCACCCCACCACAACATCGCCCACCACACCACTCGCCGCAACAGCATCCCGAGTCAGTCCATATCCAGGCCAATCCAAGCCCATCCAAGCCCATCCATAGACACATCACGCCACAGATCTCCTCCTCACCCTCACCTCCACCCATTCCCTCACTCCCTCCCCCCCCCCCCCCCTTCACCCCACCACATACTCTTGGCCTTCTTCAAGGTTGCAGAGTGAGATGACCCAGAACACTCTCTGCGTCCTCCGACCGGGTGCTCGAGGAGTTTGCCCATGTCTACGTCGAGCCGCACATCCGCCCGCCCGACTGTCACGGCATGTCGCCACAACACCTCAACCTTCCAACGTCAGTATGTAGTGTAAGCATCAAGTCTGTTCACCTCTGCGCCTTGCTCATTCGCACCAGCAGCAGATCGAGCGGGCCAACGGTATGGGCGTAGCCGGTTGAATGCACGCCGAGCGAGGCGTGGGCCCAGAGATCGCGGAGCTCTGCGGATTGACCGGCCGGCCAGCCGACGGCGGCAAAGTCAAACTTGAGGATGCGCGGGAGAAAGTCGTGAAAGTTGAGGAGTGCAACGGCGATGTCGCCGTCTGCGAGCGGCCGCGCCCACACATGCCCGCCCGAGACGTTGGCCACCAGATCAGCGGCATGCCAGAGCGGGTCCGAATGGATGGCAAGGACCTCGGTGTTCGTCAGGATCTCGCGCTTGTCGTGCGACATGTGCCGGACGTCGGTGGCGGTAATGAGCGGCGCACTCCACATGGCCCACATGGAGAACTCCATCCGCGACACTCCACGTGGCATTGTCGGCTCGTACATGGTCATGAGAAAGTCCGGATCCATCCACGCGTACGGCGCCACATGCCGCGACGGCTGTAGGTACGCCATGTATTCGATGACGTCGACCACGCCTTGCCCGAGCCCGGCTCCGGCGGCGAGCGGCGGAAACTTGGCAAACGGGAGATGGTCTTGCTGCACCCGGTAGCCCTGCACAATCGCCGGTGCCCACTCCTCCGGGTGGTTGTCGCCCCACTCGCACATCCCGATGTACATCGGGTGGCCCGTTGCGTTGAGCGCCGCAGAAAACGCCGAGTACAGCTCGACCTCGGTCTTCCCGCCCGGCCGTGCGCAGTTGTCGATCTTGACGTACGAGAGACCCCACTCTGCAAACGTCGCTGCATCAGTTTCGTAGTGCCCGTACGATCCGGGCCGGCCCTTGCGGCATGTCGTCGTTCCCACATCGGTGTAAAGGCCAAGTCCCAGCCCGCGATCACCGAGGTAGCGAACCAGAGCCGGAATACCGGACGGAAAGGTCTTGGGCAGCGGCTGGAGCTTGCCTTCAGCCGTCCGGTTGAAGTCAGCCCAGCAGTCGTCGAGCAAAATGGTAGTGTAGCCAAGCTTGGAGAGACCCGAGTCGACTAGAGCATCAGCAATCGACCGCACCTCCACTTCGTCGCAGGTATCAAAGGCACAGAACGGATCATCCGTGCACCACTACCTCCCCAGCGCCAGCGCCAGCGCCCGCCCCCGCCCCAGACCCAGCGCCAGCCCCCCACATCAGTATTATCAACATCGTCCACCAATGAGTACTCATCCTCCTCTCTGATGTGAACCCGCCAGGCACAGCGAGAGCAAGCCATATGCGCCACAGAGCCCAGATCTGTCCACGGTACTTCCTTTCGCCACTCTGTTGCCCATCACTGCCGGCACCACTCTGGTCCTCGGCGCAATGACCAAAATGATCCTCTGCTGGGGTAGTCCCCCCCCCCCCCCTCCGCCCCTCTCCGCGCTCTGCAACATACTGTTGACCATCCCATGGGCGGCGTGGCACCAAGACCGTTGTTGTAACCCTCCACCACCACCGCCACACCCCACACCACCACCGCCACACCCCACACCACCATCACCCACATCTGCACCACTCTCTCTCTTCCACAACTACTCTGCCACATCACGTCCGTAAAACAAGTGCTGTGTATCTCCTCCCCCCCCCCTCCCCCCCCCCCCCCCCCACGCATGACCGCCTGTCAACAGCACGCAGCGCCTGGAACTTGCTTTTTTTTTTTGCGACTTTTTCTTCGCTTCGCCTCGTTCCCCCTCCCCCCTCCACCCCCTTTCCTGCCTCTCATGTCACAACAAACAGCTTCTATGTATTCAAACAGCTTCTATGTACATATACACAATCCTTTATCGATGTGGCTCACGCATCGGCGGTGACTCAAACTCGAGCGACGGCGGCGGCTTGCACTCGCTCCCACACGATGACCAACAACCTCGGTCACACATATTACCCACGTGCCACTTATGACGCCGATTGTGCTGCTGCCGCGGGCTTTCATTCACTCCAGTCGCGCGGTCCTCAGGAAAACCTCTTCTAGTGTTGTGTGCGAGACGGCAAAGTCCACCACGCTGCCAGACTCCATTCGCTCCTCGAGATACCGGGCCACAACCGCCACAAGGTTCACCCGTGGAACAGAGGCGGCAATCGAGCCTGCCACCGCGTCATGGACCTCGCCGCCGAGCCGGATGATCTCGGCCTCGATCGCATCGGACGCCTCTGGCGCGCACATGATCTTGACATGGTACCCAAGCCCGTACCGAGACTTGAGCTCCATGGCGTCGCCGATCGCCATCAGCCGCCCGGCAGACACAATCGCAATCCGATCACCGAGCGCATCGGCCTCTTCCATCGAGTGCGTTGTGAGGAGAATGCTCTTCTCGGCCTTGGCCTCCTCAATCATCTCCCACACCTCACGCCGATGCAGCGGGTCGAGGCCGGTTGTCGGCTCGTCGAGGAGCACCATCCGCGCCGGGCCCACCAGCGCCAACACCACAGAGAGCCGCCGCTTCATCCCACCCGAAAATGTGCCGGCCCGTTCGTGGGCCTTGCTCCCGAGCGAGACTCGCGCGAGCGCGTCGTCCACTACGCTCGCCACTTCGCTCTCGTCCACACCACTCAGCACGCAGAAAAGCGCAACGTGCTCGGCCGCGCTCAGCTCATCCCACAGCACGTCCGCTTGCCTACAGATTGAGACAAGGCCATGGATCTCGTCGCCGTGCGCCGCCACCGAGTACTCGACTCCGTCAATGCTGTACCGGACCACGCCCGAGTCGGCCCGCAGCCCACCCGTCACAATGCTCATCGCCGTCGTCTTACCTGCTCCGTTGTGCCCCAGCAGCGCAACGAGCTCGCCCTCGCCCACGCTGAGATAGAGTCCATCGACAGCGCGGACAGGCCCCGAAGATGAAGATTTCTGCCTAGATGAGCCTGTCGCACACCGGACCACCGCCGCCATCCACCCCACCGTCACCATGTACACTGCCCGCAACAGCCACACTCGTTCCATCAGCGACGGCTGGAACACCTTGACCACCCCGACCAACGAGAGCACTGAGCTCATCGACGCTGCCGCCCGCATCTCTCGCGCCACATCGTCTGCATCGCTCTCCAGCAGCTCAATCCGCTCGCTTGTCTCTTTCTCGAGAGCTGCCCGCGTGAGGCCCCAGTACGAAGGGAGGACAAAAAGTAAAATGGCCGCCGGAGTCCGAGCGAGGTGGAGAAGACCTGGTCGGCGTACCAAGTCGCCACCGCGTACACTACTGCAGACGCCAGCAGCATGTAGATGCTCTCAATCGGCGGCGCGTCGATGTCGGCGTCGAAAGCCTTGGCCGCCGCAGTTGTCCGATGCATGTCCGCCCACTCAAACCGCCGCGCAGAGATCCGCGAGCCGCCGCCAAAGTCGGCGTAGCCGTACGTCACGTTGACCATGTCGACCCAAACCTTGGTGAACGAGAGCGGAGGGAGGAGGATGAGGAGGAGAGCACGGCCCCAAGCCTGGACAGACGACTTCCACAAGAGGTAGATGAGCGAGTTGGACGCAAAGACGGCCACCACGTTCATCCCCACCACAAGGTTGAGGATGCCCACAATGAGCGCCGTCCGCGACTTGCCCACCATCGCCGAGCCAAAGAACGCCTGCGGCACCGTCGCCAGCCCGAAGCACACTAGCAGGAGGACAAGCCCGCCGCCGTTTGTCTGCGTAAAGAGCGTGAACCGATACGCCACCCCCGTAACGTACGTCAGCAGTGCCGCCACACATGCCAGCACTCCGTTGACGACGTAGCCCGCCGCCCAGTACGCCCCGTCCACCACGCCCATCGTCTTGAGCATCAGCCGCTGCCCACTCTCGCGCTCAGCCACCACCCCACGCATCATGGCAATCATGGCAAACGCAATGCCGGTAAAGACAAACGACGCCCCGCCGATCTGCACCGCATTGGTCTTGGGCGACGTTGCCAGAATCGGGATCTCCTGCCAAGCGCAGTCGAGGACATACGGCTTCCCAAGGTCGCCCGCAGTCAGCGCGCTCCCGTTGGCTGACACCGCTGCCCCCATCAACTGCTCCTGCACCAGGCGCAGAATCCGCGGCCGCCACAGCTCGGCCTTGGTTGTCGAGTTTGTCAGGATCTCCACCCGCAGCGCCCGGGCCAGCTTTTCGGGCTGACTTGGAATGCTCACCCGCGCCTCGCCTGTCGAGTTGAAGTAGACCGCCGCCGAGGTGGTGTTTGGATGGGCGATGACCCAATCGATGAGCTTGTCCCGCGAGCCAAAGGCTCTCTGCTTTGCTTCGGCCACGCCAAACGAAGCCACGATACCGGCCGCCACCGGATCACTCTCTGGGCCCCAGACCAGATCCAGACACGTAGCGCCTTTCCGCGGGGAGCAAGACGGAAACTCGGACGGGAACGGGACAGCAGGCGGGTTGAGCGAGGGAGCCTCAGGTACCACCGTATGTTGGAGGATAAACAGAAGCGAGAGAAGGAAGATCGGCGGGAGGAGCTGGACCACGCTCGAGAGCCACCTCCGTCGGACGAGAACCACCTCCTTGAACCGTAGCAGATGCCACGTCTGCACCGCGCTCTTTACCACCCACCCATTACGCCACACGCTTGCCGCTCCTTGCTCTCTGCCACTCTGCGCCATTCACTCTCACTTGCGAGAGAGAGAGAGAGAGAGATGTTCGCTCGCTCGCGTCTCCGCGTGTGCGACTTGGCCCCGTCGGCCGAGTGGCGTGGAGAGCCATTGGCGGGGATTTCGCCCACGTGACACACTGCCGTGATAAAAGCCCACTACATAAACATGTATGTAGTCGGGAAGAGGCAGTGGTCGGCTATTTCATGACGTTATTGATGTCTCTCTCTCTGTTTTGGCCCCTCTCTCATCAGACCAATCTCCTCTCGCCTATATACGGTGCTCATCGCTGTCTCTCAATCAATGGCGTGCTACGATCGCAGACAGCAGCTTGTTGCTGGTTTGGAGTAAAAAGCGGTCGGCCCGTGTTGGCGCTCCGCCCGTCTTTTCCCGGGCTCGACTACGGTCGCAGTAGCCGATCTTGGTGTGATGGTGAGGGTGATGAGCTATTGGGTGTTTACATCCGCTTGCCACCGACCATCGGTATGTATTGCGATGATGAGCGAGTGTTGCGAGTGTTGCCGAAGGCTGTGCTGGTGACGATCGCCTCGTCCAACACCCGGTCAGGCATTGCCGGTGCGCAATGCGACACATTGTCTTCTTCCCAACAGGGAGAGAGCTGGTTCAACTCGACTTTGCTTTGATGCTGGTACGATGTTGAGATGATAACGATGGTGCTGCCTGGACATTCGCCACACTGTCAGCTCCATGGCTTTTGCGCCGTTTGCGAAAAAGCGGACACGTGATCACGCACCAGGTCATCGCCACCTGTTTTACACGCACACCACCCTCCAACTCCAACATCGAGCGATGGATTCAATAACACCTCGCACTAGTCCACGATCATCCAACCATTGCTAGCCACCCCCTCCCTTTCCAGGATGAAGGAGGATCCCATGGGACGAGGCTTTGATGTCCAGTCTCTCAGGCATAACCCAATCGCAAGACCTCAGACCTTGGATCGCAAACCAGATGAGAGCCTTTTCCTCCCACAGCTCACTGATTGAGCAAGCCGAGTGAGCCGGGCAAGCCAGGCTACGTCTCCAGTCTAATGCGGCTCTCTCATCAATGGCAATGTGAAGCAGAGTCATCAAGTACCCATCACTTGCCTCATTTTTTCACGGTTAGCATTACGAAGGGCTATCACTCGTCGCCAAACGGTGGAAACCAAGTTTGGCCTTTTGACGTTGATCAGCCAGTAGTCACACGACGGGACACCATGTCACAGCCACCGACGCTTGTGGTGAACACAACCAAGGACGAAGCAGCGACCGTAACCTCTGCCACACATACAAAGTTCCTTGCCGCACTCTCTGCACACTACACAGTACGTCCTCCTCCCCTCCTCCTCCCCTCCCCCTCCCCCCCCCCCCCCCTGCCCTTTGTCCCACCCGCGCGCCAAAAACAGCCTCACCGCCTCCCCCCACCCCCTCTTCCCCCCCCCTCCCCCCACCCCCCTCCCCGCACGCACAGGTCAAGGAGAACACGCGTGGACTGAGTGAGGCGCTGCAAGGATGTGGAGGAGTGCTGCTGGGTGGCCCACGTAAGAGGTTCTCCAAGACTGAGCTCGACGCCCTTCGCGCCGCTGTGGCCCGAGGTGCGACCGTGGTGGTGCTCCTTGGCGAAGGTGGTGAGAAGGCGGCTGGGACCAACATCAACTACTTGCTGGAGGAGTTTGGCATGCGAGTTAACCCTGATGCCGTGGTGGCGACAGCATATTCGGGTGAGTGTCGCCATCCCAAGGAGGTGTATGTCGCTGACGGCGTGCTCAATCGTGTTCTTCCGCGTGTGCCGTTTGTCTACCCGCGCGGCGCCTCGATCAACGTCGAACCGCCGGCTGCTCCGCTCCTCGCCTCGGGCGAGGCTTCGTACCCGCTCAACCAGCCGATTGCCGCTCGCGTCTCGGTCGGCTCGGCCGGTGGTCAGATCCTGGCCATCGCCTCGATCGATATGATTTCCGACTCGTGGCTTGCCCGCGTCCCAGCCAACGCCGAGGTTCTTGACGGCCTCGTCAAGGTTCTCGCCGGCGAACTTGCCCTCAACAAGGTGGATGAGGAAAACCCAGACGTGAGTCCGCCGTATCTGGTGCCCGACACCGAGGCGCTCGCTGTCCGCCTCCGCTCCTGTCTTGAGGACGCAGACCCGCTACCGGCCGCCTTTGAGGAGCTTTTTGAGCTAGAGCCCGTCGGCCTCGACCTCGACCTTCTTCCTGCTGTCTCGGACCTCTTTGTTGAGCTCTCCGTCAAGGACGAGCCGCTTACTCTCATCCCGCCCGAGCTCGAAGTCCCGCTCCCGCCGCTCCAGCCCGCCCTCTTCCCGCCCGAGCTCCGCGGCGCTAAGCCGCCGGCTCTCGAGCTCTTTGACCTCGACGGTGCCTTTGCCACCGAGCGCGTCCGCCTTGCCCAGCTCACCAACAACTGCACTGCCGGTGACGAAAACGCTGACGAGCTCGAGTACTACGTTCGCGCCTGTGGTGACGTCCTCGGTATGCCTGTCACTAACAAGGATACCGGTGCCCCGCGCTCTGGCAAGCAGATCCTCCAGGAAGTCCTCTTTAAGCTGGTCAAGTTTAAGAACAGGATCTAAATCACACCGCCCCCCCCCCCCCCCCCTCCCTGCTTCCCCGCCCTGCCTCCCTTTCCCTCCTCTCCCATCGTGCCCATCTCGCCCTCTGCTGCCACCACACGTGTCACTCGGTCGCCACTCGGCTCAAACGGTCCGTCCGCTGCCTACCCTACCGCCCCCGCACTGTACCACTTGCACGCCACTTGACCCACCTCACGCCGCTCCCCTCCCTCCTCCCTCCTCACGTCATACCTTCATACTTCCCCCTACCTTCCCACCCACACGGAGCTATTTCCATGTGGTAGTCCCCATGTGAATGGTGGGAGTGTGGCCTTCCATCCCCTTGCCCGTGTGGTGTACATAGGTAGTCGGACAGGTTGCACAGGCGGGACGAGGAGGACAGCAGGAACATCAGCTGGAAGTAGTGGCGGGGCAGGGAGTGGCCACAGCAACAACAACAACAACAACAACAATAATCATGTCAATGCCAACATCAACATCAATGGTACCAAGACAAGTCATCATCATGGTCATCATTATGGTCATCATCATGGTCATACTCATGGTCGTCCTACGTCATCGTCTAACAATCATGTGGTGGATGTCGTCTCCTTGGCTGGTGGAAGTAGTGCTGGTATTGGTATTGGTTCGGGTTCGGGAACTGGTGGTACTGGTGGAGGTCTTGCTGCGGCTGCTTCTGTTGCTGCTGTTGCTGCTGTTGCTGGTCGCGGTGGTGGCGGTGGTGGTGGTGGTGGTGGTGGTGGTGGTGGTCATATCGTTGGTGGTACTGGCCGGCTGGTTGGATCTCGGGGGAATGTCTCGGCTCATGGTCGGAGCTCAGTATCTGGATTGTTGTCATCATCGGCAGCAGCTTCGGCTGCGCCGGCCTTTGCTGGTCTTCGTGCTGGTGTTCGGGTGGTCGAGCTGGGCTCAAGAGCTGACATGGCCTTTCTCCCCACGGCCTCTCATCCTACGCACCTGGCTACTCTCCTCTCGCATCACTTTCTCCTCGTTGCCCTTCCAGACTCGATCAGGGTCTACGATCTCGACACCTACGCCCTGGTCTCGGTCTACTCGCTGCCGTCGCCGCTCTCGGTCCTTGCCACCTCACCGCTCCGCCCATTGGCCTTTATGGTCCCGGACGACGGCCCAGCCATCTACATGCTCGACCTTGGTGCGCCGGCGCCACAGTTGGAGACCTTTGATGGCGGGAAGCGGTCAGTGACAGCTCTGGCGGTCCATGCCTCCAAGCCGCTGCTCGCCGCTGGCGACCGCAAGGGCGTTGTCCGCCTCTACGAGTACGGCTCGCACACCTGCCGCTATGCCGCCGACGAGTACGCCGGTGATCCGGTCAAGAAGAAGCTTCGCTCGCCGGTCACTGCCCTTGCTTTTCACCCGTACAAGGACATCCTCGTTGTCGGCTCGGCCGGCGGCCGGCTAGCGGCGTGGGACGTCGGCGGCGCTGCTGAGGCCCAGCTTCTCGCTGTCCGGGCGGCGCTTCCGCCACTCGCCACCATCCGCTTCCACCCGCTCTCGCCGCTCGTCCTCACCCTTTCGACGGCCGGCGATCTCGCCGGATGGAAGCTCGGGCTCGGGCGACGTGACTCACGGCTCAAGCTTGTCGGACTCGTCCAGCAGGCGCAGCTCCCGTTCTCGCCGCCGAGTGACTTTGTCATGCACCGCCGGTTCAACTACGTGGCGTTTTGTGTCCCGCCGCCGCTTGCGGCGCCTTGCGCGCAAGCGGCAACCCCGCTCCGCTCGTCGACCGGCAATCTGCTGCCGCTTTCGACGCCGCCCCAGCTCGCGGCACTCGTCGACGGACTGTACGCGGCGGGCGGCGGGAGCGGTGGGAACGAGTTGGCCGGCGGGCTGTTTTCTGGTGGCGGGAGCCAAGGTGCGCCGGCCATCCACGGCGTGGTCATCCACACGCTCCTCGACCCGCTGCATCCGGGCGGCTTCCTGCCTGTGGTGGCGCCGTACGCGCTCCCGCAGGCTGCAGCCATGTACTCGGACCGGTGGCGGCTGATGGCATTCCACGTCCTCCGCTGCGACAACAATCCGGTGCGCAAGATTGCGCTCGATGACAACGCCAAGGTTGTCCGTGTTCGGCGGGCGGTCCGACACGGCAAGGTTGCGGTCGTCCTGGCCACCTTTCCCGAGGCCGACGCGCCGGCGCGGCACCCACCGCTCCCGGCCTTTGACCACGATCCGTGGGCGGCGACGATGGCACACCGGCTCTCGCACCGGTCGTTTGCGTACATCTCGTTCCACCAGGCGGATGCCCAGGAGGCCCGGCCGCGGCCCGGGCGTGACGTCGTGTTTGTGGGCGAGGGCGGCGACGCCATGCTTGTCCTCGGCCCGCACGGCAAGTCAGCGACCGTGGCAGCCACAGCCGACGAGACCCAGCTCGCGGCCTTTGCCCTCGACAACGTCTGGCATCGGGTGTTTGCCACGCCGCTCCGCGGCGCGCGGGTTGTTCTCTACTACGACATTGTTGCACGGCTCCTTGTGCCCTCGGCCAACATCGACAGCCTGGTTCACCCGCCCAACGCGTACATGCCGTCTTCGGCCCTGCCGCTCCCGCTCGGCCCAGTGCGCGACCCGCACGCGAGTCTCCCGGCGCCCTCGCCTGCCGCACCGCACATCCGCCTCCCACCCCAGACTGTTGTCTCGGACGTGGTGTGGGACACATCCGGCCAGCTTGGAGCGGTCGTCACGCCCTCGCTCCTGCTTGTTGTTGATAGCACGCTTGCAGTCCTCACCTCGTACGCCTCGAGTCGGGCCTCGGAGCTTGTTCCGTTCTTCCTATCGGCAGTCTGGCTCGCCGGCACGTTGCTGTACTCAACTCCGGTCGGGGTCGGCTACTTGACTCCGGGCGGCTATGCCGGGCGGGTGTGCTCACTCGATCTGGTCGACGTTGTTCTTGTTGCCGGCCTTCCAGACCGGCTTGTCTACGCGCACCGGGTCAAGAAGCGGGTAACGGTCGGCTACCACGCAGTTGGTATGCTCGAGCCGCGGCTGGCCGGCAAGCTGTACGGATCGGCTGGCAGTGGGGCGGTGTCTGCGTCTGCGCTGCTCGAGCTGATGGAAAGCTATGACGGGCTCCGGGTCTCGCGGAGCTTCATCGACAAGCTGCGAAGTGGGGCGACAGCGGTCGAGCGCGAGCTTGCGCTTGCGCTGCTGCTCGCGCGCATCGGCGCAAGCTCTGATTGCGGGCAGGACGAGTTGGTGGCGGTCGCACTCGAGCTTGCCGGTGAGCTGGGCGCGTTTGGGCCAGCAAGCCAGCTTGTGAAGAGCGTGCAGGCGAGCGGCGGCGGCGATGGCGCCCACGGTGCGCTCTGCCGGCTCGGCAGTGCAGCAGCGACGGCCGGTGCACTCTCGCTAGCGCACCTTTGCTATGTGGTGGCCGGCGAGTGGTGGGCCGAGTGGCTGCTGCGGGTGGAGGCCGGCGAGAAGGTCCCGCCGCGGCCCAAGGCACCGGGCTCGCTGCCTGCAGTGCAGCTGGCGAATCTTGCGCCGCCGAGAACGAGCGCGCTGGGGCTTGCACCCGAGAGTGTGGCGCGGACAACTCGCGTCTCGGTCGCCATTGCTGACGATGGGTCCGTCGGCTCTGGCCGACATGGGATGCCATCGGCCGGCTCGCCACTCCCACTGGGAAGCCCGGGTGCAGCAGCGTCACCACGCGGCACTGTCTCGTCGTTTGGCGGCTCGTCGTTCCGCGACCTGCTTGCAGCGCACTCGCCGCCGCCGCAGACGACGTCGGTGCCTCCTGCGGCAGCGGCGCCTGTCATCGCGGAGCAGACGATCATGAGTGAGCTTGACGCACTGGAGCTCGACTCGCTCGAGGTTTGGGTAGCGTCGCGCGGCGGCGAGATCGACCGACGCGGTGAGGGCATCGGTGGCCTCGAGTTTGACCGCGACTCTGCCGCCACGTCCTCGGTCCTGCACTCGATGGGCTCGGCGGCGTCGGTTTCGGGCTTTGGCGGCGCGTACGCGGCACGGATGGAGGTGTCGGACGACGATTTGGGTTGTGGGAGCGGCGGCAGTGGGGCCGGTGGCAGCGGGTCGGGCTCAGGCTCGGGCTCGCGCGAGGGGTACCACTACGATGAGGCCGGCCGACTGGTTGACGCCGAGGGCTACGTGGTCCGGCCAGCGGCGCCGGTGACCGCCGACCTCGCTGGCGAGGGGTCAGATGCCTCGGCGTCGTCATCGTCGTCGGGTTTCGGGGCCCGGCCGGCAGCCATTCGTGTCCGCATCCGGACGCAGGAAGAGATGGCAGCAGCAGCAGCAGCGGCAGCGGCCGACGTTGCCGCCATCCCCAAGCTCGGCGAGCTAGGCGTCGGTGCACGGCGGCGTGCAAGACGGCGTGCGCGTCGTGGGCGCGACTCGTGGAGCTCGTCGTCAGACGGCGGTGAACCCGAGCCGCAGCCTGTGGAGCGCCCCGCGACTGCGGTGCCTGCAGGCATCCCCAAGCTCGGTGAGCTGAGCGTGGGCGGGCAGCGACGGGCACGGCGGCGTGCGCGGCGCGCGCGTGACTCGTGGAGCTCATCGTCTGACGGGCGGCAGGAGTGTGGTGACGTGGATGCTGGTGCAAGTGCGGCTACCACAGGCAGCGTGCCGACGACCACACCGCCACCGAGCGTCGCGCCTGTATCAACGGCGACGCCGCCAGCGACGCCGCCGCGGATGCAGCCACCTGGCCCGCGGCCGCCGTCGCCGTCGCCATCTGTTGCGTCATCACTGTCGATGATGTCGACGGTGAGCAGCGACATGTCGGAGGCAGCGCGGCTGCTTAGGGCGGCGATGCGCGCGCTCGAGAGCGGCTCGCTGTCCAAGTGCCAAAAGGCCGCGGTAGCGGCGCTGAGTGCGGCCCGCGAGCGCAAGCAGGCGCGAGTGTGTGCCGGCTATGTGGTTGCTGCGCGACTGCTCAAGGCGCTCAAGCGCGTCGAGCGCGATGGCAAAGCCGGCGAGGCTGCCGCGTTAGCGGCGCGGCTGGCGGCGCTCCCGCTTCATCGCAAGCACCGGGCGGTGATGCGCGAGCTGGCGAGCGCACGCGACGGCGCAGTCGCCCCTCATGGCATGTCAGTCGACGACCTTGCTGGAGCCGTGGCGCCGTCTGCCGACGTTGCCGAGTGCTCATGGTGCGGCGTGCGGACAGCGCGCCCGAGTGGCGTTCCACTGCCGAGCATAAGCCGTCTTGAGCAGCGATGCCAGGTGTGCGGCTTTCAGCAGCCGTAGCCTCTGTCAATGAGTACACACCCAGCCCAGCCGACCTGTGATGATGATGATGATGACCTTTGCCCAATCCCTTTCCCGCGACCCCTGATGCTGACTCACGTCAACCCATCAACCCGATCCCCCCCCCCCCCCCCCCCCCTTCATTCCTTCTCACCATTCCTTCCCAACGATCCCCTCCCAACACCTGACCTCCTCCCCCCCCCCCCCTACCTCCCATGCCCTTCCGCCTCCTTGTGCTGGAATGCACGCCCAGCTGCGACTGGCAGACCATGTTCGCCGGAGCAAGAGTAGGCGGGGAGGAAGTGATTGTGGAACAGGCGAGTCTCGGGGAAGTCTCCCTGGCGGTGTACTCGGACGGCAAGCCGGTGGTCTTCCTCCGAGCCAACCAGCGACGGACGCGACAGATGACCTTTCGCCCAGATCATGTACTGCTTCGAACAGTCTTCCATTCTCGTCAAGGTCAAGATGATCGTAACTTGCTCTACGGGCTCATCTCGGCTGGGATCTCCGCCACAAACTCGCTCCATTCGGCTTACGCTGCCCTTCATCGTCCTGTTGTTCATGGTGAGCTCCGCAAGCTCCATCGTCAGCTCGCTGATACGCCTCATGGCTTCCCGCTCATCGCTCAGGCCTACTATCCCAATGCTGCAGCTATGATCGTCACGCCGGATCTACCGGTCGTCGCAAAGCTTGGTCATGCTCATGCTGGCTACGGCAAGATGCGCTTCACCGATGCCGAGTCGCTTGACGACTTTAAGGGCGTCATGGCCATCACGCCGCACTACTGCACCGTCGAGCCTTACATCGAGTGGGACCACGATCTGCGGATTCAGAAGATCGGCGAGTGCTACCGCGTCTTCAAGCGCGTCTCGCCGCGCTGGAAGGGCAATGTCGGCAACGCCGGCGTTGTCGAGGAGATCGAGCTCACTCCGCAGTTCAAGGCCTGGATCGACGCCGCCTCGGGCGTCCTCGGCGGCCTCGACATCTGCGCCCTCGACCTCCTTCACTCATCCACAGACGACTCGTACCACATCCTCGAGCTCAACGATACAGCCATCGGCCTTGTCAACGCCGTCGCCCTCGACGACATGGCTGCCATCCGCGACGTCGTTCTCCGCAACATGACCGCCACCCTCGTTCTCCCCACCGCCTACCCGCTTCCGCCGGCGGATCCCGACGCCTCGGCCGTCGCCGCCCTCACTGCCTCGCTTGATGCTCGTACTCAGCAGCTTGTCGCCCTCGCCGCAGAGCTTGAGCTCGCCAAGGCCCAGCTCGGTCTCGGGAGGCAAGCTCCGATTCCGCGCTCAGCGCCTCCACAGCCTCGCGCGCCTGCCGCTGCCAGCACCTCCACCCGCTCACACCCTCGCCATGACGGCCGCGCCGCCCGCCGCCCACGAGGCCACATCTCCCGCACTACCGCCTGCTATCTGCTCATCTTCTTCTTGCTCCTCGCCGCTGTTTCGGCTTTCTTCTCCATCCGTCGTGATCGCCAGCGGCAGCTGGCCGCTCTTGCCACCGCCGCCGAAGCGCTATCTGATGTGCCCAATGACCGGGTTGATCTTTAACATGGTTGGTGATGGAGACGGGAAAAAGAGGAGTCGTAGGGGGTCTAGGGTGCGCTTTGCAGACGCTTAGCGGACAGACTCTGCGCTGACGCTTGATAACACTTGCGCTCTCAGTTGTGATTGCTCATGGATGGGCGGTCACGATTGCACCCGTTTGCGCGGTCGCGATTGCTCATGCTCGCTCGCGTGTCCAAGCTCTTGCGCTTCCGCTCGCCCAAGCTCTTGCGCTTCCGCTCGCCCAAGCTCTTGCGCTTCCGCTCGCCCAAGCTCTTGCGCTTCTGCTCGCTCGCGCTCGCTTCCGCTCGCTCGCGCTCGCTTCCGCTCGCTCGCGCTCGCTTCCGCTCGCTCGCGCTCGCTTCCGCTCGCTCGCGCTCGCTTCCGCTCGCTCGCGCTCGCTTCCGCTCGCTCGCGCTCGCTTCCGCTCGCTCGCGCTCGCTTCCGCTCGCTCGCGCTCGCTTCCGCTCGCTCGCGCTCGCTTCCGCTCGCTCGCGCTCGCTTCCGCTCGCTCGCGCTCGCTTCCGCTCGCTGGCTCACTTACGCTCGCTCGCTTGCGCTCGCGCTCGCAACAAACCGCTCACACTCCTCCTCTCCATCAAACCCAATCGCGTACACAACATCACGCACCACGTCTTCCAGCTCAACTTCGGGCCATCCATACACTTCCTCCACGCGTACGTCCTTCCATTCCAGGACAGCCAAAACCCGCCGCCGCTGCTTCACCGCCCCTCCTCCCCGGACAAAGAACACCACGTCGTTGCATGCCACCCACTCAACAGCTTCTTCGACTCCGCCCCAGACCAGCACGCCCTTTCCCTCTTCCACAACACGGCGTGAGGGCACAACAAGCTCCACAGCTCGCTTGTCGTTGATCCACGTCTGCTGCGAGATCTCTAGCAGCCGCGCCCGCTGCTCCGCCTGCCGCTTCTTCTCGTTGATGTCGTTGGCCTTGGCCTGCACCGCACTCGCTGCCTCGGCAATCACAGCGTACGACTCGTGCTCCTCATCCGTGTTCTTCTGCACCCGCGCGAGAAGCAGCGGGTACTTGAGCATCCGCTGGAATGGCTTTTCCAGCCCAGAAAACGGGCCCTGCCCGCGTGGCATGCTCGCGCCCACACTCTGTCGCCACGCCACAAACGCCTCACGCGACGACAGCTGCGCAAGCATCGCCTGCGCCTCGCCGAGCGCGTTGACGTACGGTGAAAACACAGAGAGGTATCCAATCATGTCCAGGAATACCTGCGCCACAGCCGCGCCTGCATCGCCCTCGCTGCTCATTGCCTCGGTGAGCCGGCTCATAAACTCACATGCCACACGCCGCACGGGCCCTAGGTGCGAGAACAACACCCGCCACTCCGCCTCGCTCACAACTCCGGCCTCGCGCAGCGGGATCGCAACTTCATCCTCCATCGACACCATCGCGTCGCGGTACACCTCCTCAGAGCGCACAATTTCGTCAAGCGCTCCGGCACGCTCTGCACTCGCTCGCTCGCGCTTTTCCGCAGCCTCGGTCGTGCTCGCATTCGCATTCGCGTTCACGCTCTCCTCGCTCCGGCTCGCGTCCTCTGCTGCGTCCACCTCGCCAATGAGCGCCGCCACCAGCGAGAGCAGCCGCGTGCCCATTCCTGCTGAGCGCGACTTGCGCTGTGCCGCCACTGAGAGTGCCACCGGCTCCAGTCCGCGCAGCAGGATCTCCACCCGCAGCACAAGCGCGCGCGCCTCGAGCGTCGCACGCGACCGCAAATCGAGCTCAAGCACAGCGCACAGCAGGAGCGCCTCGGCAGGCCGCGCCTCGCCGAGCACCTCGCTTGCCAACAGTGCAAACTGCAGAAGCAGCTCCCGCGCCTCTCCGTTGGCGTGTCCGCGTGCCGCATCCCGAACAGGCTCCAGCGCGTCCACACGGACTGACCCGCGCACAAATGCATCTCGCACCCACGCCACAGTGTGCATGCTCAGCGTCACTAGCGCCTCCACAACGTCGATCACCGCAGCCCACGCCTCTGGCGGAAGCAGCGCCACGCTGGCACTCTCGGCTGCCGCCGAAAGCTCAGCCTCCATCGCCACAATCCCACGCCACCCGCTCGAAATCGTACGGTGGCACGGCAGCTCCATGTCCAGCCGCTCTGAGAGCTGCTCAAAGCCCACAAGCTCGCTCAGCGCAGCCTCGTAGTCGCCGCAGCACGCCGCAGCATGGCCAATCCACAGCTTGTCCAGCAGCACACGCGGCGAATCCTTGAGCCACCGCGACGTGCCGTCCCGCGATCGCTCCAGAAGCTCGCGTCCACGCTCTAAAAGCCCGATCCGCAGTGCTGCCCGCCCCGCAAAGTGCAGCACGCATCCCTCGTCCCACCACGCCATCGAGCTCTCCATTCGTTCGCCCGCAGCTCGTGCAAAGTCGAGCACGCCCTCGATTTCGGCGTCAAAGTCGGCCTCGTTCACGTTGTTGGCATCCCACGGCGAGCTCGCTCCGCTCATCCACACTGCCGGCGCGAGCGACGGATATGACGCCTCGCGCCCCTCCCACGGCGAGCTTGCGCCACTCATCCACACCCCCGGCACCAGCGATGGGAGCGACACCTCGTCACCAGTACCACTGCTCAGCCCGAGTGCAGCGCTTGCTGCACGCACCTCGGCAGAGTTGAGCGACTCAAACACCGAGTTGGCCCGCGGCCGCGTTGTGCTCACCACTGGCACGCTCGCGTCGCCCCCGCCCGCCCGCGCGCACAGGCCCAGCCGCTCGAGCCGCACCCGGTCGGGTACGCCGCGGTAGCCAGACGTGCGGTAGTGCGACCAAACGTCCAGTTTCTCCTTCACGGGTACCACAACCCAGAGCTTGGCGCACGCCACAAACGCAAGCACCGTCGCAAGCATCTCGTCCAGCGTCGAGCCGGCCATCGTGTACATCTTGCTCTCTTCGCCCTGCACAAATTCGGCCACAAAAGCCCGGTCGTCGCTCGCCCTGTAAACCTGGCGCGCCAAGTTGCGCTGCAGCCCGAGTGCATGCAGTAGACTTGTCACCTCGGCGCCCACGCTCTCGGGCACAACCCGCTTCCGGACCAATGCCTCCATCCCAAATGCCCTGTCGTTGCCCACTCCGTAGTACACACACATGCCGTACACGCACTCGCGCACTACGCACATCATCTCGCGCCCGAGGTCAATCTGCGCTTGCCGGCCTGCAAACAGCATTCCGTCCTCAAACTGAACCGCAAACCCGAACACCGCGTTCGCCACAATCGTGCTTCCTTGCGCATGTCGCGCATACACACGAGAAAACAGCCCGCCACCGATCTTCTCGCCGCGCAGCTTCTTGAGCGCGCCAGACAGCGCCGCAGTCACACGCGATCCGGGCGTCTCCCACAGCACATCATACCCGCAGCGCCGCGTCGCGAGGAGCTTGGCAACCACCGCAGGCGATCGCACCACCGTCGTGTCATAGGCAAGCTTGAGCCGGAGTCCAGACTCGGCACAGTGCACCGAAACGCTACCATCCGTACGGAGCCCACCCCGGAGCTCGCCGAGGTTCGCCAGCTTCACCGCAAACAGCGAGAGCATGTTGTACACAAACCGTTTCGCCCCCGGTGAATTGCTCTCGACAGCAACAACAACCTCAACAGGCTCGTGCACAAGTGCCTCACCGCTCCGCATCACAAGCACCGCAAGCGCAGGCACCTCCACCACAGCAGAGACAGAGAGCACGGCGTGCTCCCACATCTCCCGCAAAAGCCCCATCTGCCGCTCGCCGGCCTGCACGCTCACCATCCCGGACGCGCTCGCCGCCACTTGCGCCTCGCGCAGCTGCGCAAACCGCTCTCGGAACTTGGCGGTGAAAGCCACGGTCTCTTCCGTGAGCATCGTGCCCAGCTCGTCGCTAACAAAAAAGCCCTCCACGCGCTCCATCTTCTTGACCAGGTATGACTCAAAGGCCTCGGCATCCAGCCCGTCGCACACCTCGCTCGTTCCGTGCAGCACCTCCACCGCCGCGTTGTACAGCATCGCCGCCTCAACATACGGCGCAACATCCACCACCCGGTTCGCCCCGTCGGTATACTGTGCCGCGTGACTGGCGTACGCCGCAGACAGCCGCGCGTCCGCCATGTAGTCCAGCCCAAGCACAACCTCCGACCGCCGGCTCCCAGCCACCGCGTCAGAGTAGTACCCCTCCACACCCTTGCTTGCATCTTCTTCGAGCAGCTGCGGCGACTCGACGTACCGTACAAGGAGCTGCGGATCAATGAACAGCTGCATGATCTTGTACCGCCCATGCCGGAACGCAAGGTCCACAGGCGTGTCGCCGTTGGCATTCTTCACAAACACCTTGGCCCCGTACTGCACAAGGAGCACAACCGTTTCCGCAAACCCGTTCTTCGTTGCAAAGTGCAGCGCTGAGTAGCCCCACACCTCGGTGAGCGCGTTCACAGGCGCCCCAGCTTCCAGCAGTAGCCGCACCGTCCGCGCATCGCCCTGCCGTGCGCAAATGTGCAGCGGCGTCTTGTGGTCGTCAAGCTCCGGCCGCGCAAGCAGTTCCAGCTGCGCCTGCCGCTCCGCAGCAATTACAATCTCGTCGTCCTCTCCGGACCCGTACACCACGCGATTCAGATCCTCGCCATTGGCTCCGACCCCGCGGACAATCTCGCGGCGCGAGACGGCGCCCACACCCGACAGCAGAAGCTGCACGCACTCGTGCGACTTGCTCTCGCAAGCATAGTGCAGTGCCGTCCGCTTTCCCGACGCCCCACTCGCGAGCCCCACGTACGCAAAGTGTGACTCCAGCCGGCTCACGTGGCTGCCACACCGCGCCGCGTACGCCTCCAGCAGCATCTGAACAAGGTCGGGCGCACACATCGCAGCCGCCCGATGCAGCGGCGTGTAGCCAAACGTGTCGTACGAGGTCAACGATGGCGAGAACTCCAGCAGCCGCCGCACAGCCCCGCTCCGCTTCTCGTACACCGCAAAGTCAAAAACAGACCGTCCGTGCGAGACCTCCAGCGCCAGAAATGTAGCCAGCGCCCCAGGCTTGGTTGCCACACTTTGTGCCACAGAGCGCACAACCTGCACAAGCCCGGCATCACTGCCCTGCTCCAGCAGCCACATCTGCACGCCCACAAGCTCGCGCCAAAGCTCAAGCTCCTCTGGCGGCGACCCACACATCCGGAACCCGTCGCCCTCGGCCCCAAGTACAATTGTAAGCGCCACTCCGGACGTGATCAGCCGCCGCCAATCTGCGACTTCCACCCCAGGAAGGAGGCCAAGCTCGAGCTGCGACACCGCCGTACCAAGTGCCATCAGCCCTTCAGTCGTCAGTGACTTCAGCGGCGCCTGCCCAGTGCTCTGCACCAACCGCACACACATCAGCTCCGGCGCCCATGCCACAGCCTCCACGAGCTTACCCAGCGGCACACCTGGGTCGACAAGCGTCAGCTTGGTCAGGCCTGGCACCCGGAGTGCTGCATCGAGCAGAAGCTCTTCGTCGCTCTGACGCAGCAGCTTCAGGTCCACCACCGGCAGCAAGTCCTCAATCGCGCGCGCCATTGTAAAACGCTCATACTTGCTCGTCTCCTTACCGCCCTCGCTCCACGGCCAGTACCGCGACCGCCGGTACAGCGCTTCCGGCAGCGACGCCGAGAACCCGGACGTGTACTCCTCTGACTCGATTGCTGCCGAGTACAGCGCGCCCACGGTCGGCGAGACAGCGTTGAGGAGAGCGAGGTGGGAGGCCGACTCTTCGTCCTGTAGCACTCTCTGCAGCGCCACTAGCCGAGAGTACACCATCCGCGCACTATGCTTGCCCCACAACGTGCTCGAGACCCTCGCCGCGGCCCCGGTCACCAACCCGAGCCACTCAAGGACAAAGAGCGCAGGTTCGATCGCGAGCACTACCTCGCGTGTCGTTGCCTCAAACGCCGCAAGCATTTGCGGCATGCAGAGCAGGATCGACCGCAGTCGCACCCCACCGCGCCCGGAAAAGCCACTCTGCGCATCGTCAATCGCCACAAACGCCGTCAGCTTGCCATCGCTCATGCACAGCTGGAGCGAGACGAGGCCGGCAGCCAGCGAGTCGGGTACAGCCAGCACACACATCACAAACGCTCGCGAGAACGACCCAATATCAATCGCATCTACAAGCTGCGGGTACCATCGCAATGCGCGCGCCAGATCGATGCCGGCCACGCGGCTCACAAGCTGCTTGCCGCAGAGCGATTCGACCCGCGCCTCATCGCTGCCAACCGTCCTGATCGAGACCTCGGTCGACCATGCCACCGGCGATGAGGCGCCAAACAACAGCCGTCCCAGGTGCTGGACCGCCATCTGCGCCATCGGCGCCCGCGATGGTCTGTACCGTAGCCCGTGATGGACAGGCTCGACTCGGCGGATGTCGTCGGCCAGCGGGAACGAGTGAAACACCGCCGTTGCCTGCTCGATCGACAGCTGCCGCACTCCGAGCTCGCTCGTCACCATCACGCTTCGGCTCAGCGCCAGGCTTGCTGGCTCGGCCTCGGCGGGAAGTTGCCGCTCCACGGCAAGGTACTCCCCGGCTAGCTGCGTCAGGGTCCGCCGCGCCTTGGGCGCTCGATTGGCTGCTGCGTCAAGCTTGCGGATCGCCGCCAGGAGGCCGGCTCGCCCGTCTCTGTTCCAAACGCTCACCGGCGAACCGAGCTCCGAGACCAGCTTGCCTAGCCACGACGAGCCCATCTCGGCAGAGAGCCGTGCAAGTTCGCCCATCGCTCGCGACCACATGTCGTCCACAGTCACTAGCTCGAGCTCCACCACAAGCGGTGCCTGTGCAGAAAGCCCGAGCTCACTCGAGACTAGCGGCCACGCAGGGTCAAGCAGCTCACTCGCCGCTGTGCTCTCATTGCTAAACGTGGCCACCGAGAGCCCAGACTTGCACACCGCCAATCGGTGCGGCAGCGCGTCAAGCATGCCATTCGCCCGCGCTTCCATGAACGTCAAATCCAGCAAGAGCATTCGCATCCGCCGCACTCGTGCACGCTCGCATGCCAGCAGATCGTCAAGGACCGAGACAACGTCGCGGAGAAAGCTAAAGAACCGCTCCCGCTGGGCCACAAGCTCGCCGGCCCGGCACTCGACCCACTCGACGCTGGTCTCGCGGAGCGCCGCTGTCTTGGCCGCGAGCTGGGTTTTGGCCGCCTGCGACCAGACCGGGACCGCCGCCTCGCCTTCGCCCTCACCACCGAGGCTCTGCACAAAGCCGAGCGCCGCGCCCCGCTGAGCTGCAAACTTGGCCTCGGCCCGCTCGGGCTCACGGGCATGCGCCAGCTCGTAGCCCTCGTACGCCATCATAAAGCCCTTGACATCGGAGCGCCGCGAGAGCAGATTGCCCAGCCGGGTGTTGAGCTCACCGAGCTCGGCCTCGGCCGTCACGATACTATCGACCGCGTCGCGCGTGGAGCTCGCCAGCTGGCCCACCTCGTACGCCTCGAGCCACTTTTCCAGCACGGTGGCTGACAGCGAGCCCAGGACCAGCTCGCACTTACTCCCCCCGCGAATCCAGAACCGGAAGGCGAGAAACGGAAGCGCGAGAGTATGGTCCGCCAGGGCCATTGCTGCCACCGCAGCGTACGCCGCCGCTGCCAGCCGCACAGTTTGCTGCCACTGATCCAGCAAGTGGAAAGGGAGCAAGCCGAGCGCAGAGACCTCGGCAAATCGCACAAACTCACCAAGCGTCTTGAGCGCCTCTGCCTCGCCGGCGACCATCGACGCGCTTGCCAGCGAATCGCGGACTTGACGGTCAAGCGGGCCGAGCCCCGCCAGCTCGACCAGCGCCGACGCCAGGAGGCCATCAACCAGCCGCGCCTGGATGCTCTCCGCCTGGACCCGCATTGTCTCGAGCTGGACCGCACACTCGACAACTCGCTTGTGGACAACGCCTGTGTCAACGCCAAGTTCCTCCAGCGGGCCCTGCGCCAGTTCGGGATTCGACACCACCACTCCGAGCGCTTCCTTCAGCCCGAGCACTTGCTCCGAGTCGGCTTCAAACGCGAGGACAAGCTCGCTGAGCTCAGGACCGGAAACCTCGGCGCTGCTGACGACCTGCGCCAGGCGCGCTTCCTGCCGCTCTGTCAGCCGGGCGAGCGAGGCGGCGGCCTCGTGGTAGACAAAGGCGACATCGAGCTCGTCGGGGTCGCGAAGAACCGACGGGTTCTGCACAACGTCAAAGAAAAGGTTGAGCAGGTTGGCGTCGCCAAAGCACTCGCTATCGTCGTCGTCGGCCTCGATGCCGAGTGAGGCCACTGTCGAGAGGAGGAGGCCAAACCCACAGAGCTGCTTGATGCGGTTGGCATATGAAAAGGCGTGCATGAGGAGGCCTGACTTGCGGTGGGTCTCGATGACCGCCGCCGAGAGCAGGAGCCGGAGGGCCAGCAGGCTCTCGAGCACTTCACGGAGCGGGCGCTCCTCGGCCGTGAGCGAGCCAAACAGGCCGCCGTCGCGCTCCAAGAGGCCGTGCTGGACCTCGTCGGTGAGTTGAAAGTCTTGGATAGTGTGCCACATCGAGACAAACGAGGGAACAAAGTCCGAGACAAACGTCGTTGTTGCCCGCTCAACCTCTTGGAAGAGGGTCTTGAGCCGCGGTCCGGTCCAGTACGCACCGAGCGCTGTAAAGCCGGCGGCAATGTCGGCCATGAGCGTCGAGCCTCTTGGAGCGCCCGCCTCGATAGCCTGCAGGATGGCATCAATGAGCTCGACGAGGTTTGTCTCGCGAGGGTCGTTGGCCGGGTCGAGACTTAGCTGCGCAAAGTAGCCCCGGAGGAGCACCGCCCGCAACGATGACGCCCCGGCCTTGGTCCGCGCGGCCAGAACCGCGAGAATGGCGTTGATGGCCAGCGCCCGTCGCCCGTCAGAGAGCCGCCTCACAAACTCGCCGCGAAGCAGCGGGATCTGCAGCAGCGCACAGACAAAGGTGTTGAGCAGAGTGTCTGGCACCGCACCCACAATGACGTCTAGAGACGGCGTCGGCTTCCAGCTTGTCGTGTGTGAGATCGATGACGACAGCGAGCGGGTGAGCGTCGCCTCGCCGTTCGCCGCCGCAGCTGCAGCCGCTGCCGCCATCGCCAGTGAGCCCGAGCCTGTGTTTGAGCTCGACTTGAAGGTGAGAAGCGAGGTGACCCGCGACGGCCGTTTAGCCGACGCGAAACGAAAGTGCACAATGACGAGGTGGGCCACGTATTGAACCTCGACCGGCGTGGAAAAGAATTGGCCTGAGGTGAGACCCGAGTCGACGAGGTCGGTGAGAACTCGGTCGACGTTAAACGGCGTGACGTCGACGAGTGGAACATGCTGGGCAGCGGCGGCAGCGAGGTGCGACGCGAGCGCGCCGTGGAGCGCCGCAAATAGCGGCGAGGTCTCGCTGTCGAGGTCGACCGAGGCAAAGAGCGAGGGCAGGACGCCGGAGATGCGGTGAACAAGGACTTGTCCAAGCGCCCGATGCTGCGGCACGACAAGGGCTTCGACCTGGGCGCGGAGCGCAGGCGCCGAAGCCTCGGACGCCTTGAGCGCCGCCCGTGCAGTCTCAAAGACCGGCAGGAGCGCGTCGGCCTCCCACTGCGCGGCGGCGACACCGGCGGTTCGCGCTTGGGTGAACGCCTCGCACCACCCAATCTGGGTTGGTGTGAGGTCGTCGAGGAGAAACGACATGACCGCAGACTTGAACGCTCGGAACTTGAGTTGCTGCAGAACGTACGTCATCGCCGCCGATGCCACCTGGGGCTGGCCGTCGTCAGCGTATGTTGCCAGTAGCTTGACCAGCAGCGACGGCTGCGGCTTGCGAAGATAGGCGTTGAGTCGATCAAGGACATCACCAGAGACAAGTTCGAGAACGCGCGGAACCGGCTGAGGACTGTCTCGTTCGCTCAACAGCGTCTCGGGGTCGGGCGGAGCCGACGCCGGGTACTCGAGTGCAAGGATGAGGCCGTCGACCGGGGAGGCAGCCGCACGAATACTTGCTTCTGCGGCCGCAGCCAGTGAGCCGTCGTTATTGTCGGCGCATGCTGGAAGTCGGCCCCACGCCAGCCGGCACGCCTGGCGCCAGATGTCGTTGGACCGGAACCGCTCGCGCCACGCAAGACACACATCACCGGCCGTGAGCAGGTCCTCGATCGGAAGAAGCGACGCAATGCGTGCCACAACACTCGCCGGCAGAGCCAGGACGTCCATGGCCCCCAGATCGTGGCGGACGCTGTCGTCTGCCTCTGAACACGGCGAGCTGGTCGCGAGCTCGCGCTGCCGCAGCGAGTGGAGGACCCGCAGCGAGACAAGCTCGACCGTCATAGCGCTCGGTTCACTGCCGGGCGATGCCGGCGCAAGCACCGGCTCAAACGTCTCGACAAAGTCTGTAAAGGAGAGCTCAATCTCCGCGCGGCCAACGACGCCGTTAAGCCCGTCACACCCGTACCGTGCCGAGTTGAACCGCAGCGAGTCCCAGTGACCCGAGCCTGAGCCAACATCACCGCTTAGTGACGAGGCCAGCTCCGTCTGGTTTGCCGCCTCTTGACTTGAGGTATACTGTTGCTGTTGATAGGGAAGGATGACTCGTGCGGCCTGGGCAAGAGTGGCCACATGTTCAGGCGTGGTGGCCACCGCACCTGTGGTGTCGCCAGACATGCAGAGTATGGACGAGGGCACGAAAGAAGAGGGTAAGACGCCCAAGCACCAGTAGCAGGACCGGGAGCAGCAGAAGTATCATCATGCCCATGCCCCCCGTGACCGGCGTCGCCCCACGCCGCCCAACCCCCCACACGCCCCCCACACACACGCCCCGTCCAAACAGACAGGCACATACACAGACGCCACACCCCCACACCATCCCCCCCACCCCCACCCATAACCATTCCGCATCCCATGTGACCTCATTCTATGTGTGAGTGTATGTCTATGTCCATATACCCATACCTTCCCCCGTCCGCTGTCCCACCACACCTCCCTCCCCCCCCCCCCCCCCCCCCCCCCCTTCCCTCCTGCCCGGCCCGTACCACCAACTTTCCCTTCCA